CATCGATCACCGTGATCCCTTCCCGGAAGACTCTGGCTTTGCCTCCGATGCTCTGAATACAGCCCATGGCACACAGGACCGCTCTGATCTCTAGGCAAGGCCAGCAGTCCCAGAGAAAACCGGGCATTGAAAGGACAGAGGCTGCCGGACCCAGTGCACACAGCGCTGCTCTCCAACCTAAATCTCAAGACCGATATCCATAGGATAGAAAACTCACAGAGTGTAGGGGGGCTGCATATCACTACCGCGGCCTGTTTATAAATAAGGATTTTGCTGCATTTCAAGAGCCCTGGGCTCTCTCTTCTTCTCCTAGCAGTGGACAAAAATCACCGATATTCTTTGGGTTAAAAAAAGAAAAGTTTGGAGTTTAATGCATAATCATGTTCTGACACCCGGCGCTTCTGTGCCTCACACGCGGGGACGGCAGCCCGGAGCTCTCCCTGAAGTCTTCGGAGGAAGAAGGCGAGCGCTGGCTGACACATAAATAAGGAAGGCTCGGTCCCGCGCGGTCGCGCCACCCTCGCTGCAGAAGCCCGACTTCCTGCCCCCCGGCCTTCCGCACGCGCTCCCTCCGGGGACAGCTCGCGGACGCCTGCCCGGAGGGCCGCGACGGTGGAGCAGTTTCTGTTCAGTCCGCGGGTCCGGGCGCGCTCGGGGGCGAGCGCCCACCTTCGGCTTCTAGCAGGCGCGCGCTGGGCTCGGGCCGCTCACCGGTGCCGGAGCAGCGTGGCGCGGGTCCCCGTCGGCGCCCACTAGGGGCGCGGGCCGGACGCCCCCACGCGGGCGGCGCGTCCCCCTCGGCGCTGGCGCTGGCGCCGCTGGCCGCCGTGCGGGGCCCCGGGGCTGCGCTCCGGCCGCCGCCGCCTGGCTCGCCGCGGCCGCCGAGGACCTGGTGGGAGGTGGAAGGGACAGGGCGTCAGGCCCGCCTCAAAGTTCGGCCGAACTTTGCTGCGGGGGGCGCGCGGGGGCGGCGACGCGTGTGCTCAGGGCGCGAGCTGCGGAGCTGACGGCGCAGCTCTGGGCGGTCTCCCCGGAGGCGGCGGCCCCCCCTGCCCGCCCCGTCAGTGGCGGCCGCAGGACCGCGCGCACCAGCGAATAATCGCCGCCCGTGACATCTCCGCTGACACCCTCCTGCCTCCTGCCCGGGGGCGGGGTGAGGGGGCGACCGGCTGCCACCGCAGTGGGCGGCGAGGACTTGCCCTGGCACTGCTCCCACCGCCTCGCCGCCAGTGCCAGGCGCCCCTTCCCCGCCGGGGACCCTTCGGCCCCCCGGGGGCTCAGTGCCACCCCTAGGCCGGTCTGATCGGGCGCGCGCCCCTTCCCGGGCTGGGGGCCGCCGACCCCCGGAACGCGCAGTGCCCCCGCCCCGCCTCGTCGGGCACCTCTGTCCCCCTCGCCAGCCGCGAGCGGCCCCAGATCCCCGCGAGTCGGGCGCGCTGGCCGCTGCCGGGGAACTTTTGCGCGCACGCCCCCACCCGAGCGGCGCCGCCAACTCACCTGCCCCTCCGGCCGCTCCGCGTGCCCGGGTCGCCGCCCTCTGGACGCCCCTCACCCTGCCGCGGGCACGTTCTCGGGGCGCCCCCACCCCCTTCCTGAGGCAGTGTCCCCTGGCTCTAATGGGGTCTGGGGCCGGCGTGGGCGCCCCGACCCCCACCCTCTCCTGGCTCGGGGCTGCTGGGGGTGGCGGGGGGCGGAGAGCTGAGGCTTGGGGCTCTCTCGCCCCCACCCCGCGCCTCCTTATTTTACGATCATTGTGAGCGCGCTGTCGCCGCTCAGCCCCGCGCCGCGCCGCAGCCGCCTGGCGCGCCCCGCGCTGCCTCGCTCCGCTGCGGCATCGGAAAGGCAACCAGGTCAAACTTTGCAGAAACTCGGCCCCGGCGCTCGCCGGCCCCCGCACCCGCTCGCAGCCCGCGCACGCAGGGACCGACGCCCGCTCGCCGGCCCCGCGGGGATGCAGGTCCGCAGGCGGCGGCGGCGGCGGGCGCCGCCTCCTCCTCCCCGCCCGCCCGGCTCTCCACCCTCGCTCCCCGCACCAGCCCGCCCTCCCCCTGGTAATCCCTCGCTCCTTCCCCCTCTCCCTCTCTGCAGCTGCTGGGGAGCTGAGCCTCTCCTTGCGAAAACGGCATTTCCTTTTTGGCTGTCCCCAGGAATTCTGGGTAGTGTAGTTCGGCTTCTGCCTCGGGTCCAGGTGGGCAGCTCCCCGTGCCCTTTGAACTCTACAGGCATGAGGCTCTCTGGGACTCGGAGTTGCGGGGGGAAGGACTGCACTGCCCTGGGGCCCCTGGCTGCAGGGGGACAGTGGCTGGTGGAGACAGTGCGGGGGCTCTGGCAGGCTCCAGGGCTGGGAAGGTTGGGGTGGAGGGTTTTGGGGAGAGGTTGGTCCCTCCCTGCTGGTCTGCCGGCGCCCTGACTGGTGGTCCACCTGTTGGGCCCAACAGCGTGATCAGTGCTGCACAAGCGTCTTCATCTCATCCCCCATCAGCCACCCATGCTGGGAGTCCTGTGATGTGTGTTTCACAGAGGAGGTGTCCGGAGCTGGGAGCTTGGAGACTTGCCCAAGGCCCCAGCTGGGCAGGTGTCCCAGCTGATGCTGGGACCCTAGAGGTCCAAGTGCCCAGGTTCAAAAGGGGTTTGAGGCTGGACAGCTGTAGGAGAGCTATGAACCCCACCCCTACCTTTCAACTAGCCTCGCAGAGAGAGGCCAAGCAGTTTGTGACATTAGGAAATGGGACAGCCATGTTAAAATCACGCTCTCACACCACGACTCACTCTCTGACTTCCAAAGGTGCCCACAGATGGTGCAGGGCAGGTGGTTCCAGCTACTTCCAGAGCCAGAGAGAGCTGAGTGCCTGAGGGCCCATTGCCTTGGGATGTCTTCTTCCAGGGATGAACAGCCGGGCCGACTGGCCGGCTCACAGCAGCTCAGCTCACCACAGAGCAGGAAGCAGCCGGTTAGGTGGCCAGGGCCTCCCACCCAGCCACGCCTCCCCCCTGAGCACTGCTATCCATCGGCTGTGTCCCCAGCCTGTTGAGAGGATCATCCTTTTCCAGTTCAGCGAGTACGTGGCTGACTCAGACCAGGCAGGGTGGCAGAGCCAATGCCGCAGGGTCTGTGGCCTTTTGGCCAGTTTATTACCACATAGCAGAACCCCGGACAGCACCTGGGGTCCCTAAGGGCCTCACGTGAATTTCCATTTCCAGGAAGAAGTCTTCCCTGGCCTACTAACCCACAGCGACCTCTGCCCACCATGAACTCATGGCCCCAGCAAAACATCATGTCCCTCTGGGACTCAGGACAGCCTTCAACACCTGCTGTGCCAGCAGGTAATGATGTTACTTGGTTTATACATAGGAAGATATTAGCCTTTGATCCATCTCATCTCCCTACTCCCCCCTCACCCGACGGCCTGGAACTGTGCAGACCCCACTGGCTGGGTGGTCCCAAGGACAAGGTAATGAGTTCGAGGGTGCTCCATGAACATGTGCCACAACATCCCTTTCGTGACACGGGCAGAGGCCATGGCCCTAAGCTGCCTGGAGAAGCAGGGCGCCCCCTGGAGGTGACTTCCTGGGCATGGTCCCCCGTGAGGGCCTGTGGGAAGTGGGATTGCTCCCCTCGACCCTGGGCTGAGCCTGGGTGTGTGGTGATGATGATGAATCCGGCACCATGTGTCAGATGCTGCACAGGCAAGCACTGTCCCTTACCCGTGACCTTGACCCTGGGCAAGGTGCTCCACAGACAGAGAAACCCAGGGACCACATCCGGCCAGCGCCAGAGCCCACTCAGCTCCTCCACCAGGCAGGTCTCCCGGGCTGGCTGCGCCGGCCCCTCCAAGCTACGATGGGGCTGGCCACTAGGAAGTCCTCCTGGAGGAGGTGCTTGGGTGCCCACGGGAGGAGGACTTGCAGAGTACAAGACCCTCTCCCTAACCTGCCCGTCTTTCACGTCACCCCGACGAGGGCTTTGTCTCGGTCCGCAGGGGGAGGTGGGGGCCTGTTTGCCAGGCTCTCAGCTGAGAGGCAGCTCCTCAGGCCCGGCCCAGACAGACGGTGGGAACAGGCTCGGCTCCTGCGGGCGGGCGTGCCCTGTCCCAGCTCCTGAAGCGCCCACCGAGGTTCCAGCTGCTTCCCGGGCTCTCAGGCCGCTCGGGCCCTCCCGCTTCCCCACACAGCCCTTCCTCCTGCTCAGCACTTTCTGGGCTCGTGGGAGTCGGGCACAGACCCACGGCAGCCTCAGCATATGCGGAAAGCTCATGACGCGTCAGCGCTGGCTTCTGCAGAGCAGAGGGAGGGGACACTTGATTGAGTCACTGCCCGACAGCACAGGGGCGCTCACATTGCTCCCAGCCCCCTTCGCTCCCCCAGGCCTCAGTCACCCCAGACCCCTCTGCAGTCCCCAGACAAGAAAGAGGAGGGGTCAGTATGCCCCGCCCCACCCTGACTCCCGAGATGATGCACTCCTCAGTGTGGCAACTCGGGAGCTCAAAGCGTTGTCCCTGCGAGGACAAGGGCCCATTGCGGCCCTCAGTTCCCGGCATCCAGGTCCACAGGGGTCATGAAAGCCCAAAGCTGCACAGCAAGTCAGAGGTGGGAACAACACTGACCTTGCCCAGCTAGCTGCACTGTCACACAGCCCTGAGCACATCTGGAGCCCTCAGAGGTCTGCGGAAAGAGCTTGACACGGTCCCTCCCGGCTGCATGTCACTGAGCTGGGGCTTTGCACACAGCATCTTCATGGCTTTCCACAATGAGCCCAGGAGCCAGGCCCTGTCATCGGCCCATTCTACTGTTGAGGACACTGAGGCCTGGTGAAGAGGAAAGGGTGGATTGAACCAGGCAGCCTGGCTCTCATACCCAGAGCTTTCTCGGTGGTTCGGATGTGCTAGGTGCTCTCACCAGCATTCCCTGCAGGGTTAGGGACCTCAGTCTCAGTGGCCACCGGAGACTGTCCCAAGGCTCCTTCTCTGTCATGGACCAACCTACATTCAGGGTCCCAGCCGGTCCTCCCAGGGCTCATCACCTCCAAGGATGGGGTCATCTTGAGGCCAGAAAGGCATTTTGCAGGAGGGAAAATTCCTCCTTTCAGCACATGGAAATGTTAAATGCTGGAATTCTGTTGCCCCGGGAGACAGGGTTCTCTCCCCAACTGTTTGGGAACAGATGGAAAGCCAATGGCGAAGCTTGGAATGTCCACCTGGGAGATGGGTGGGCAGGGCCAGGGGCTGGCAGGTGGCTGGAGAGGGGGTATTGCCAGGCAAGGAGGTGGGTCAGGCGCAGGGCCCGTCCTGCATCCCCAAGGTGCCCCCCTCTGCGGGGAGCAGGCTGGGCCTGGCCAGCTCAGCAGGGACCAGATCTCAGAGAGGGCTGATCCCACAGCCTCCCCTGCAGGTGGGGAACAGAGAGAGGCCCAGTGAGGTCCTCCAAGGATGGCTCCTCCACTAGAACCCAGGCCTCCTGGCCTCCAACTTGGTGATGAGCAGCAGTGTTGCAGCTTGGGCCATGGCTCACGGCAAGTGCACAAAACCTGCTGCCAAGGTGGCCGCAAATCAGGAGGCTCAGGCCTTCCCAGTAAAAGGCTTAGAGCCACATTCCCTCTGGGGCCCGTTGGGCTTGGGACTTCTCAGGCAGCCTGCCCATTATCCTCGACGTCACTCCTTCCCCAGTGTTGAATGGACACCTCCACTGGGGACAGACTCAGGCCCAGACAGACAATGGCACTTACATCCCCATGGGCCGGAGAGACAGCGAGGGACCACTCCAGGAATGATGAATGAAGGTATCAATTAACGTAAATAATAAATAGGTACAGACTGATACTCCAGTGGTTATGAGTAGATATCAACTGCTATAAATCGTGGGTGTGCGAGTAAGTTGTTCTGATGTGGTCCAGTACTGAGGGGTGTGTGTGTGTGTGTGTGTGTGTGTGTGTGAGGGAGCATAGTTAGGAGTGGGTGTGAGTGTGTGTGTGACACTGAGTGTGCATCTCTGTGTGTGAGGGTACACTGGCAGTTGTGTGTAACGGTGTGTGGGCGTGTGTACGTGTGTGTGCCTGCATGTCTGTGTCCGTGAGGGTGTGTGCGTGTCTGTGTGTGAGGCGTGTACTGGTGTGAATGGGCACGTGCGTGTGGGTGCAGGTGAGCACGTGTGCACATGTTGTGTGTGACAGCGTGTGGCCTGAGACAGCGTGGCGTATGGGGTGTGTCTGAGTGCGTGCTCTGGCTGCGTGCGTGGTGGCGTGAGTGTGTGGGTGCGTGCCTGGACTGCGCAGTGCAGGTGAGCTCGTCTGCGCGTGTGCGTGGGTGTGGCGCACAAGCGTGTGCGTGTGTCTGCGAGTGCAGGCCGCGGGCTGCGAGCGTGGGGCGGGCGGGCGAGGCTCTGAGGCTGGACTGGGCCGCAGGCGGATCCCGCCTTGCCCCAACGTTCTGGGCGCCCTGCCCCCCGCATGCGCCGGCGATTCAGAGCCCGACCCCTCTCCCATCCACGTCTCGGGTCGCGCGCTCGGGCGCCACGTCCGCGGCCGAAGCCGTCGGCGTAGCGGGGAGCGCGGGACGCGGGGACGCGGGGGACGCGGCGCGCGCGACCGGACGGCTGCGCGCCCGCCGGCGGCCCGCGCCCCCTGCCAGCCGCGTCCGCCGCGGGAAGACGCCCCTCGCCCCGCGGTCCCGCCCCCGCCGCCCGGGAAGGACGCGGGGGGCGACAGCAGGCGGGCGCGGCCCGGATCGGAGCGGCACTGGGAGTTCTCCAAGGTGCTAAAATAAACCCAGCGAAGGATCAGGTTTCCCGACCAAAATAACCCAGGAGCGGCCTTAGAAATGCGAACTGAGAGAGCGATCGGGGCGGGAGGCGGTGATGAAAAATGCTTTTCGCGGGGCTCCCTCCCCGTGCTGGCAGCGACCCCGCAGCTACCGCTCCCCTCCCCCTCCAGCGCCCAGGTCGCCGGCCTGTCCGTCTGGACTGTCCGTCTGGCCTGTCCGTCTGGACTGTCCGTCTGGCCTGTCCGTCTGGACTGTCCGTCTGGACTGTCCGTCTGGACTGTCCGTCTGGACTGCAGCTGCTCACCGCTCCCCGCCCTCCCCGTCTCTTCTGGGGTCATTACCCCAAATCCCAGCCTCCCGATTGGCATCGTCTTTGGTGGCAAAGTGTGCGGTAGATTAGAGGCTCTGCACGGGGACAGTCATTCATTCAGGCTTTGTTGAGGGTCTACTGTGTGCTGGGCATCGCCTGGGCACCCGGGTCACACCAGTGAGCAGACAGATCACAGTCCCTGCCCCAGGGGGCTGACGTTTTGCTAGGAGGACACACACCACAAAGACACACACACAGAGTAAGTAAAGTGTATGAGGCTTAGAAAGTGATGTGATATTACAGAACACATTCTTACATTTAGGAAAAATAAATAAATAAAATAAAATAAAAAATTTTTAAAAAAAGATGTGAGCTTAAGAAAAATAAAGGAAAGAACAGAAGAGGATAAGCCGGTGGGGGTGATGTCTGAATCCTGGGGTCCCCCTCTGGCTCAGTCAATGGCCTGACTAGAACCCCTCACCTCTGAGCTCCAGTTTTCTCCCTTGTATGAAGGACACGAAAAGCTCGTCTGTGGGGTTACTGTGACGTTAAACACAGTGTTGCAGGGACGTGCACTTAACTCCGGGTCTGGTGCATGCATCCATGCAGCGCAGGGATTAAGTGTAAGCCAACGATAAATATGCTTCTTAGTATCAGTGGTAAATCTATCTTAAACATTTAAAGACAACAAACAACAAGTGTCTACAATGTCCAAACTGCTTTAGGCCCCACAAAGCTGCCAGAAAACTGCGGCTAATCTTTTTTCTTTTTCTTTAGTTTATTGCCCTTTTCTTTTTTAATTTATTATTGTTTTTCATTTGTCTTTATTTCACATATAACTTTTTGCTGTTCAGGTGACATGTGGCTAATCTTAAGTAAGAGAGAGGCGGTATTGTCCAATGGTTAGGGACAAGAGCTTGAGACCTGGCTCTGAATCCTCATACCAGCTGTGGGCCCTGGGAAGCCACCTCGTCCCACCCCACCTCTCAGCACTCAACAGTGCTGGGACAGGAAGGCGATGTGGCACAAGGGCCAGGTGCAGCCACACCTGCAGGGAGACCCGGTGGTCTGTAGGGATGGGGCCGCCGCAGAGGCACCTTTGCTCTTCCTGTTGGTCCTGCCAGGGGGCCTGGCGCAGAGCAGCTCTCAGGAAGTGTCCCGTGAGTGAGAGAGGGGAACGAGTAAGTGAACGAGTGACAGATGAGGCCAAGCAGGCAGAGAACAGAGAAGCTGTGGGACATGTGGCCAGGAAGACAGCTCCCAGGCTCAGAGGCAGAGAGACCAGCCCGCCAGAGTCCCAGCTCTGGTGCCGGCCAACTGCGTGGCCTCACGGGTGATGTCGCTACCCTGGGCCTGCTCTTCCTCCTCGGCGGTGGGAAGAAGGTGGTGGGACTTGCCACGTGCTCTGCCAACCAGAAGTGTCTGGACCATAGGCGGTGGCTCAGGTTTGCCCCCAGATCCTGAGGGAATGCTCCTGAGCTAACTGCTTTTTTGGAACTTGCCACTTCCACTACTTATTTATATTCTGTGTAGTGCACTGGAATATATGTATAAGGACGGCCATCCTAGAGCAGTTTTGAATTGTTACAAAATGGAAACAATCTAAATGTCCAATAATAGGGGATTGGTTACATAAATTATGACCCATCCACATAACAAAATGCTAGGCAGCCACTGGAAAGTAATGGGGTTGTCATGGAAACATGGCCAGGTTTATATTATAAAATGAACAGGAGGGAGGTTATTTTTTTAAAGGACTCATAATGTGATCATATTTTTAAAATGCATATGGTCGTGTATGATGCATTACATGTGACATACATATAGTTCAATATATATTGTTTTCTGATTAATAAAGTAATACTTGGTTATGTAAAATACTATATTTCAATAACTGAAAATGATACAAGTGAGAAACTCTTGTCACCTGATCACCCTCATGTTAACAGTGCTGGTCTCCAGGTGGTGGGATTATACCTATATCATCATATTTTTTAAATTTATTTCAGTAAGTATGTAACACTTTGATAGTAAGAAAAAAAATAAGGCTATTGGTAAAATTAAACTGTTTTATAAACTGGCTAGGTCTATATTCTATTTCCCCAGCTAGCCTCTTCCCCAACAGGAAGGGATCAATGAAATCATTGGATGAATGAATGAATTCTAAGACTCTTGAGTAGTGGGGCTGTGCGGCCCACAGTAGATGCTCATACAGGCTTATGGGGTGAGAAATGATGCCGGCGTCTCGGCCACCTGGGAACGCGAACAGGGCCACCCCAGCATAGAGAGGAGAGCAGGCAGGTCTCAGGGTCACAGGAGAAGCCACCAAAGCCACTTCAGGCTGAACGAACGCTTCACATAATCTTCTTGCCGGCCCTCAAGAGGAAAGCAGAGGCCGGGAGGGATGGAAGGGCTTGCCTGTGGTCACGTACCTGGAAGTGGCTGTGTCAGGGTTTGAGCCAGGGTCTGTCTTCCTGTGTGCTGGGCTGGGGCCAAATCAAACCCCATGGCCCTTTCCAGAGTGGGGCCCACTCTGGCCCTCAGAACCTGCCAGGAGCTCTGGCCAGACTGAAATGCTGACACAGGCCTCTGGGTATTAATAGCCCCTGTCTGGGCTGGGCTCCTGTGCCCCTCCTGAGGCTACCCCGGGTCATGGGCCCCACCCGGGGAGCATGGGGTGAGGGCCGTGGTGGAGAGCTGAGCAGACACAACCAGGTCCCTGTGGTCCAGGGGTCTGAGTCCAAAGGCTCTCATGTCCCCACCCCAGGGACTACTTAGGAGTTGGACTTCTTCTCTTTTCAGCTTCCTGGCTGGAGGCCCTCACCCCCTCAGCCTCAGCTTCCTCACCTATAAGTGGGGGTGACGTCACACCGCGTCACAGGAGTGCCGGTGACGTGGCGGAGAGCTCGGCGTGCTACCTGGTGTCTGTGCCTCACACGCTCGCTCCCACGGGCACCAGACCCAGTCCTGAGTCCCGCACGGGGCAGCTCATGGCATCACTGCCACAGCCAGGAGGGCAGGACAGGATGCAGTCTAGGTCAACCCCGTCTGCGGCCATGTGGCCTGAATGGAACACTCTGGAAGAGGAAGAGGAAGACTGAGGTGGGCCCAGGCAGGGGGTTTACAAGGAATCCCAGACAGAGGGCTCCTGGGCTCTGGCCTCAACCTAGCCAGGGATAGGGCAGGGCCAGGCCACTGGGGTGGTCCTGCTGAAGGGGGCACTTGGCAGGGAAGAAGGACTGTGCCTCTTGTGTCAGCCACAGTCAGCTCCTAACCCACTGGGCTGAAGGCTCACCACTTCGGAGCCCCCGCACGGCAGAGACACAACCCTGAGAGGCGGGAACTATTATTCCCGTGTTATGGGTGGACAGACCAAGGCGAAGGGACTTGCCCAAGGCCTCACAGCTAGCTGGTGGCAGAGCCACAACAGATGGCCGAGCCCCATCTATCTGACTGGAGCCTGTGTGCTAGGGAACACACGCCCCTGCCCTGGCAGCTTCCTGTTTTGGGGAGGCTGTGGGGTGGGCCTGGGGCTTCCTGGGTGGCCTCCTGCCTCCACCTGGGCTGGGCAGACAGGCCGTGCGTGGCCACCCGGAATCATGACACCAGGGAGTTCACTTCTGACTCTCTGGTCAGCTTCAACAAGCAGTTTCCCCTCTCGAACCCAGGCCCAGCCAGACGTCACAGGGCCCTGGAGACTTCGGGCTCGCACAGGTCACTGGCGCAGGGAGACCTCCCTCAAATCCCAAACCTGGCTGGGCTCTCTCGGGCTGCCCTCCGGCTTTGCAGCCCCTCCTCGCCCAGACGTCTGCGGCCGGCAGGCTCTCCCCTGCCTCGGGCTCCCCACCTGCTCCTCCTCCCTGGGGGAAGCCCTCCCCGACTCTCAGACCAGACCCACAGCCTGCCCTGTGATCATTCTCATGTGTCATTCTTTTAATCCCCACTGAACTGTGAGATTCCGGGACGGGGATGGAGTCGGTCCTACTCTGCAGTGTGCCCAGCTCCTAGCACAGTGCCAGGTGCTCAGGAACTATTTATGGGTTGCCTGAAGCTGCTGTAGCCCTCCCCCTTTGCAAAATTCTGAGTAACTTCACGGGGCAATCCGTTATGTACCGCTCCCTGTAATGGAAATCAAATCTTACAGATTGCCATTTGATTGAACCATCATGCGCGGAAGCCGAATTCAAGACTGATTGGGAAAACAAAACACACACACACACACACACACACACAAACAAAACAAAAAACAAAACAAGAAAAACCAGCCTGCCAGCTTAGTGAATGCTGTCACAGAGGGAGGAGCTGGGCCTGGCCCCAAGGGACCCGAGATGATGCTGTCAGTGACGTCTTAACTCCATCTGGTGCCCGGAGAGGCCTCTGGTCTGGGCTCCCCTGTCCGGTCCCCGGGACTCTGTCCAAGCTGCCAGGCCGCTGGGGCAGGCAGGCTGGCTCACGGGGGTCTGCACTGCTCAGAGGGGAGCTGGCGGAAGCAGGGGTAAGTCCGGGACCACCTCTGCCAAGGTCAGAGGCCAAGGCCACGACGGAGTCCAGAGCAGCAGGAGAACTACATTTCCCAGAGTCCCCCAAAGCCGGGGCTGAGCCATTGGCAGATTTAAATAGCCCAGGCCCGAGGCAGCCAGGCTGCAGCTGTGGGCTCCGGGCCTCCCCGGCGGCGGCGGCGGCTCCATTGGCGCTGGCCTGGCGTTGGTGGGCTCGATTGGCTGCCCAGCTGGCACTGACGTCCCCCGGAGCCTGGTGGCAGCCGGAGGTAAACAGCCATGCACAATCCTCCACTCTATATTTAACAGCTGCCCCGGAGAAGGCGGGGAGGCAGGCAGCGGTGGCAGCTCCTGTCTTCGGGGAGAAGGCCCTCGGAGCCGGGCTGGCACCAGCCTTCTGGGCGTGAGCAAGGCCACCATGCCAGCTTCCCAGAACCGGGCCCGCGCCCGGGACCGCAACAACGTCCTCAACCGGGCCGAGTTCCTGTCCCTGAACCAGCCCCCCAAGGGGGCCCCAGAGCCCCGCAGCAGCTCGGGCAGGAAGGCCTCGGGCCCCTCGGCGCAGCCCCCGCCCGCAGGCGAGGGGGCCCGTGAGCGGCGCCAGTCACAGCAGCTGCCCGAGGAGGACTGCATGCAGCTGAACCCCTCCTTCAAGGGCATCGCCTTCAACTCCCTGCTGGCCATTGACATCTGCATGTCCAAGCGGCTGGGGGTGTGCGCCAACCGCGCCGCGTCCTGGGCCGGCGCCCGCTCCATGGTCAAGCTCATTGGCATCACGGGCCACGGCATCCCCTGGATCGGCGGCACCATCCTCTGCCTGGTGAAGAGCAGCACCCTGGCCGGCCAGGAGGTGCTCATGAACCTGCTCCTGGGTGAGTGTGCCCACACCTGCCGCAGGCCCCGGGGAGGGAGCCCGCCGCCCGCCCGCCGCAGCCGGGACGGCAGGGCCCTCGGAAGCCGGCTGGAACACTCTAATGAGGTTAAGCAGGAAGGTGCCCCAGAAACGGGCGAGCGGGTAGGCCTCTCGTAAGGGAGCCAGAGCCAGGGACGCACGGACCAGGGCCCTGCAAGTGGGGGCCGAGGGAACCCTGAGGAAGGCCCGCTCTCCGCAGAGATGGCCGCTGCCCAGAGGCAGCTGGAAGGGAGGCTGGGGCCAGAGACGGTGGCCTGAAGGGAGGCGATCAGGTGTCTGGTGGGCGTCCTGGAGCGGGGTGTCACAGTTTGACGCCCCCCCATGGTTGGGGTCCTCATTACTTGATTGCTCATAGACAGCACTTGTGAGCTGCCCCACAGATCCCCTCCCCCATTCAGGGACCCGGCAGTCCTGGGGGCCACGCCCGGCCTCCCGGAGTCCTTTCCTGCTCCTTCCCCAGTTGCTGGTTTGTTTTCCCAAAGTCTTTGCCACCAGCATCTTTCAGATTAGCACTGCCCTGTGCCGGGTGCCACGTGGGACCCATGTGGGGGCAAGCCGTCCCCTCCACTGGAGGGGGCACCCAGCCCCTGTCCAGCCCACCCTCCAGGCACCTCCAGATGCCCAGGGTGCCCCGGGAACCTCTGCTTGCACCCTCCATGCCAGTCCGCATTGATCTCCTTGCCGTCCTCAGCTTGGTTATTATCCAGGGGCAGGTGGGGCAGGGGTCTCAGCTCCAGAAGGTGTGTGGGTTGGACCACTGTGGACTTCAGTCCCAGAGCAAGTCACAGCGAAAACAGGCATCTCCCCCTCCGGCGCCAGAGTCTGCAGGCCCAGCTCCGCGCGTGGGCCCTGGGAGGAGGAAACTCCCAGACGCGTCCTGCGCGAGGTGGCTGGGTCCGCCGCCCTCAGTGCTTTCCTGTTCTCATTGCTGAACTCTGTACATTGCATTACTTATTCTATCGTGACCACACAGTCCCATGAGGCTGGTGCCATTTCCAGTCCCATTTTACAGATCAGTAAACTAAGGTTCCTATAAATAAAGCAAACTGGCCAAACCTCAGAGCCTGAGATTTGCACCAGGTTGCCCTGACAGACAGGCCTTTGCTCTTCCCAGGTGCCATGGGCTTGAGAGGGAGGGACAGGGCGAGGTGGCCGAGGCACTGGGCCAGGGGCTCCCAGGGGCAGAACCTGCTCTCATCATCTGCGGCTGCACACAGGGCCTCAGTCAGGACGACGGTGCTGGGAGTCGGCGTGTGCTGTGGGAGGGTGGGGTGGGAGAGCCTGCGCCGGAGCCTCTCCCACACCCTGCCCGCTCCGCCCTCTTCCTTCCCTCCCCGTGCGGCCATGGAGGCGGGAGCTGTGACTTGCTGAGGGTTCCCTGTGCGCCGGGTTTCACGTGAACCACATCATCACTTCTAGTCTTCGCCATGACCCCTGGTGTGTGGCGCTGTTATTATTCCCCATTTAAGGGGGAGGAAACTGAGGCACAGGACAATGAAAAGCCCAAGGTCACGTGGCTAGTCCGCGATGGAGCCAGGGTTAGAACTGGAAGCAACTCTAGCTTTGCTTTGCATTTTTCAGAGACGAGGGGCAGGGAACCGCTTTGGGCAGGGCGAGGGGCACCGAGGCAGGCGGAGTGGAGCTCTCCGCAGCCATGGGCTCCAGGCAGGGGTGAGCCCCCCGTGGGAGGTGTGCAAGCAAGCTCCCCTCACCACCATCTGAAATAGCTCCACTTTGATCTGGTTTTATACGTGAATGTTTGCTTTTAAGGATTCCCCTGATGCAAACATTTAAAAATTTGCAACCCGGTCCTTAAGATGAGGTTTCTGGTGCTTCCCGCAACCAGCTGCTGTGGGCGCAAAGGTGTTTGCTCCATAGGTAAAGAATAAGACTTGAGTAAGTTTCTTGAATAAGAATACAGTAGCTGTTTAAGTCTTTAAAAACATCATCTATTGAGCTTCATTAGGTACCAAATACTGTGCCATGAACGACCTGTATTTTATGATGTAAAAATGGTCTTGATGAACTTTCAAGGTCAATAGTAAGATGCCCTCAGTTTACAGATGAGTAAACTGAGGCTCAAAAGCATCAAGCGACTCGCCATCCCACACAGCCGTTAAGTGTCAGGCCTCCTAACTGCAAACCCCACGCCTTCCCGCGCACCGTGGGCCTGCAGGCCGGATGTCTCACCGTATGTTTGCTGCGCTCCTGAGCCTGTCTGCATCAAGGAGGGGGAGGGGTCTGGGAGGAGGTTTTCCGTCTTTGCATCCAGGTGCTGAGACCATGGAGAAATCCGGGCCTGGCGCAAAGCGGCCACTCAGCACTGGCCACTCAGAGCAGACAGGATGGGCCTGGGATCCCCAGGGGTCACTTCATGAGGATGCCAGTCCAGCCCCTCAGCTGGGAGGGAGAAACCTGCAGCAGGTAGCCAAGGCGGGCTCTGACCCGCTCTGGCCTGGCCTGCAGGAGGAGTGCCCACACCACGGGAGAACAGAGCCCCCGTGAGCAGGACCTGCAGGGTCCCGCCCGCCCTTCAGTCCTTGGAGGGCCTGGGGCACAGGGCCACCCTGGACGCAGGTGCTGGGGTTAGACTGGGCTTTGTCCAGGTCCCTGCTCTAACCCTTACTTGCTGTATGAACTTGGTCGAGTCAGTTGCTGCCTCTGAGCCTCAGTTCCTTCATCCCTGTTGTGGTGCTCCGGTTCTGCAGTGGGGATTCGCAGGAAGCCGGTAAAGCACTTGGCAGAGCGGGTGGCACGTGTCCGGGGGTGGCTGACACCACTGTTGTGGGAACCGCAGGGCCCGGCAAGGTGAGGGAGCCCTGCCCAGCCTGCCTGCCCACTCACAGCCCCAGGTGTCTAGCCAACTCCCAGGGCAGTCCCTGGGCGGGGAACAAGGCCCCCAAGCATCCAGCTGGGACCCGGCTTCCCCGGGGCCCTGAAGGAGCAGACGTGGGAGCCTTAGGCGATGAGTGCTCCAGCTACTGGGCCTAGCAAGGGTCCCAGCTGGGCCGGGAGAAGTTCTCTGCATCCTCCCTGCTCGGCAGGCGGCCCCGTGCCCGCTCTGCTCTCCCTGCCCCGCTCTGCTCTCCCTGCCCCGGTGCACTCTGGCAAGACTCTGGAAGCCTCAGAGCCAGAGGGTCTTAGCAGCCGGCAAACGCCTAGACTCCAGAGTCAGCTGCATCTGGGGGCAAATCCCAGCCCGGCTGTGGGACCTCAGGCAAATGACTTTGTCTCTCTGAACCTCAGTTTCTTCATCTGTCAAATGGGTTGTTGGGACATTTCACTGAAGAATTACTCAGAAAGTACCTGGCACTTGCTAATGTTGGTTGACACATGTGAAATAACGATCATCACCACCATCATCATCATCACTGCCATTGTTATCAGAAGCCCCAGGTCCCCTCCAAGCGCTTCACACCTCAAAACGATCCTATGCCCCTCCTTGTCCCGCCCCTGTAGCAGCCAGCTTGATGCCCCAAAGGGAGCCAGGTGGCAGGTGAGCAGGCCCATCCTGGCTCCCTCCCGGGCCTGCCTTGGGCTGGAAAATGGCCCTGAGTCTTGTGGTCTTGACCTCCGTCCTCTATAAAAGTATCTTTATTGAGATTTTCCTGAATACTAAAACTGTATATTTTCATATGTCTCTGTCTCCCCACCACCCGGCTAGAGTGCCGTGGCATCATTGTAGCTCACAGCAACCTCAAACTCCTGGGCTCAAGCAATCCTCCTGCCTCAGCTTCCTGAGTAGCTGGGACTACAGGTGCCACCACACCCAGCTAATTTTTGCCTTTTTTGTAGAGACAGGGTCTTACTCTTGCTCAGGCTGGTCTCAAACTCCTGACCCCAAGTGGTCCTCTTAGGTTGGCCTCCCAAGTAGCTGGGACTACAGGCGCTTGCCACCATGCCCGGCTAATTTTTTTCTATTTTTGTTAAGAGACAGGGTCTCGCTCTTGCTCAGGTCGGTCTTAAACTCCCTGTGTCACATGGCATGTGTCAGAATTCCCATCCTTGTTAAGGCTGAATAATACTCCACTGCATGGATGGACCACATTTTGTTTATCCATTCATCTGTACTTGGATACTTGGGTTGTTTCTACCTTTTGGCTGCTATGAATAATGCTGCTATGACCATCAGCGCACATACATCTATTCTTTTGGTTGTATACTCAGGAGTGAAATTGCTGGCTCACACGGTATAATAGTTGTATGTTTCATTGAGGAACCATCATACCATTTTTTTATAGAGGCTGCGCCATTTTACATTCCCCCCGCAATGCAGGAGCGTTCCCATATGTCTATATCCTTGTCAACACTTATTATTATCTGGTTGTTTTTTTTTAACATAGCCATCCCAATAGGTGTGAAGTATCTCATTGTGGTTTTGATTGTCATTTCCCTAATGATTAGTGACGTGGAGCACCTTTTCATTATACGTCGTTGTAGTAAGAAAAATTTCCGCCACTGCAAGGGTGGATCATGAAGAAAGTGAGCATCTGCCTTACGTCCTGCCCAGGGATGACCTCTGTTGCTGTCCGGATCACATCCCTGCGCGGACTGCTCCCTGCGCACACACTAGCACACGGTGGGCTGCTCCTGTCGCGATCCTGCCGCTCGCCGCCTTCCCACGGCTGCCCCTGCCGTTCGGAATCCTGGTCGCCCCGGGCCCTCACGGCAGCCGCGAGGGGTCAGCTGTCCGGACAGTCGGCTCCGCCAGCTCTGCCACCCCCGCCTGCTGGCTCTTGCTCCCAGGCACAACGTAGCTGACAGCCTGTCCACGAGGCTCGCGTGACCTGTCCCTAATAAGGGATGTTTAGTCTGCTCCCAAATCTTCGCTGTCGGATGTGCTGCCGCTGGAGACACACACCGGCCCCTCAGAGGGGCGCCTCCCCACGGTGACCTGCGTCACCTCCTGTCACCTCAGCGGGGCTCGGCGCACCAGTCGGTCCCTCAGGGAGGCCTTTGATCACCCCAGACCAAGTCAGGGCCCCGCCACACACCGCCCTGGCAGCCACCCTCGCAGCTGGCACTCGGGGGCGGGACAGCGAGCGGTGCCGACGGGCCACGCCCGGGTCCCACCGGCCATCCCCGCACTGGTTACCTCACTGCCCTGCTGCCCTCTCCCCCTGGGCCTGGCGCTCAGCTGAGCGAGTGAACGTGCTGTCGGGCGTGGCACTGAGGACCCCGATTTCCTTGCACCCCAACCCCAACAGTCTTCACAGCCTAGCCTTAGCGTGCGGATGCTTCCAGTGAGAAAATGGAAATTCCGTGAATTACATTTGCGCAGAGTCCCTCAGGCCAGGAGAGATGGGAACAACCAGGATCCACAGGTCAGATCCCCGGGCACCGAGGGTCCGGGAAGCAGGGGCCTGGCACATGCATGCTTGCACACACACACAGGCGCACGCGCACACACACATGCATGCGCACACACACCACACTCGGGCCGGCACAGCAGAGCGCCCGATAGCAAATCATTCCTGCCTCCCTCGGGGTTTCCCTGCGACCCCAGCTCTCTGCTCACTGAACGCTCCCCAGGGGCCGCGTCCTTCCGAGATGCTGCTCTGGGTTTTTAAGTAATTTTTATGTGTCTGATAAAATATATATAACATAAAATGTCCCATTTTTAAGCATTTTAAAGTGTACGTTCGGTGGCACTACGTACACTCATGTTGTGCAGCCGTCACCACCGTCCGACTCCAGAACTTCTGTATCTTCCCAAACTGAAACTCAGTCCCCGGGGAAACACGCACTCCCCGACCCTCCCCCGGTGCCCCGCGACCTCCCCTCCCCGTCGTCTCTATGGATTTGGCTACTCCAGGGACCCTGTATGAGTGGAATATTTGTCCTTTTGTAAAAATAACATTTTTTAAAATGTGCACAAATAATGCATGTTCGTGGTAAGAAAGATTTGAAGCACAGAACTACAAAAGGACAATAAAAGTCATTCATAATCCTCCTACCCAGCCGGAAGCTCTGCTGACATTGAGTGTAGTACCTTTCAGACTTTTTTCTCTGCATATGGACACATTTACTTACGTACGCATCTTACTTTACAGAGGCGGCCTCCCACTGGGAACCGGCTTCCTAACCGGCCTTTGCCACTTCCCACACCGGCCGCCCTCCCTGGCTGTAAAGACTCTTCCTCGGCCGCAGTGGCCACAGAGCACTCTGTTGTCTAGTCGCGGCCACAGAGTGTCCCCTCTGTCTCCTACTGAAGGGCACGGGCTTATCTCACAGTTTTCAGTGTTATAAATAATGCTGCGGGGGACATCCTTGACCGCCAGTCACGGTGCGTGTCCCTTATTATTTCCCAAGGAGATATTCCTACAAAGGGAAGCGCTGAGTCAAAGGGTGACGCGATGCAAAGACTTCTGATTCCGAAGCCAAGTGCCCTTCAGAGGGTTCAGGCCCGTTCTCGCTCCCCCCCGCCACCCGGGCAGGACACGCCGGTTCCCAACCTCTGGGAAGTCAGGATGGGGGATTAGAAGCAGGGTCGACCCCCAGGCCAGGAGCTCCGGGACCCCTCCTCACAGCCCCAGCCGGCAGGGGACACCACCCACACCTGTCCCTTCTCCAGCCTACAGGAGCCCCACGCAACCCCGTCTTTCACCTGGGCCCAGGCTTCCCAGCCCACCCAGCCCTGGTCCCCGGGGTCCTGCCCTGCTGCTGAGCTGGTCCTGCAGAGCGTGTCCTCAGGGGCAAAGTCCTCAGGCCCAAACCCAGAAGGGGTCCACGAGGTCACCCAGCCCACGCACCCCCGCCCCCACGCACGCAGCCGCGGGCAGGCAGCGCTGGGGGAGCTGCTTCCACGTCCTCCGGGACGGCAGCTCTTTGCGGAGGAGGCTTTGGCTCCTGTCCTGCCTCGAGGATGCGCCCGCACTCCGTCTCCTTGGCCACCATGCCACGAGGGCCCTGAGATGGGGGGAAGGGTGGGCCCCAAGGCTGGTCCTTGTCACCCTCTGAGGCCTCGGGAACAGCTGTGTCTCCTGGGGGAGGTTCAGGGTCTCAGACGCACCCCCTGAAAGGGCCTGAGGGTGGGACTGTCGGGCGCAAGGGCGTGAGCGGTGGGCGGGCCGACCTGCCATCCTCCGCCAGGGTCCCAGGTGCCGTTTAGGGAGCGCCCGCGGCTCTCAGCCCTGGGAGCAGGCTCCTCGTCGACCCCCTAACGTCACTGAGGAGAAGGGGGTCCCAAGGTCACGAGGTTCACAGTGACCAACCTTGAGGCGGGTCTCAAGTGGACCCTGAGTGCGGGGCCTCCGCCCCGGGGACCACAGCGAGGGAGGCCCTTGGAGGTGGGGTGACCGGCCCAGACACACTGCGGGGCTGGCCCTCGCCCCTGAGCCTCCTTCCAGGTGGACCTTCCCCCGACGAGGGTCCCTCTGCCCCTCCGAGTGGAGGAGGGGACGTAGTCAGCAGACTGGACGGGCCGTGGGGCAGGGCTCTTGGAGCCCTGAGTGGTGGCGCCATTTGCTTCTATTTCTGGGTGCCAGACGGCGTGCCGATGGTGTCAGCGTCACAGTCACACCAGGGCGGCCGCGCTGGAGGAGGGAACAGGCCCCGCAGGAGGGGCAGTAGGACCCGGAGGCTGTGGGCTCTGCTGGGGACCGTCCTGAGGCTCGAGGGTGAAGGGGCCACTGCCTCTTCCGTTTTGCAGCCCCCAAGACCAGGGGCCGGGCATGGTGGGCCTCGGGCGGTCACACCTGGGACAAAGTAACCCTGTAACGATTTGCTCACTGCCCACCCCCTCCCCCCAGCCACGTGGGCCGCTGCCAGCCGAATCCACCAGCCCCAGGCCTGGCACACGCCTGGCAGGCCCGAGAACCGGGGAAGCCCAAGAACTGGTGGCCGAGTGAATGAATGAACCAGGCACCGGTCCTCTTGGGGCACAGGGCAGAGAAGGGGCAGAGTCTCCACCTCACTGTGGCCTCCAGAGGTGGAAGCAGCCAGGAATAGCAGCAGCTTCCCAAGGGCTCAGATATGGGGGAGGGAGTCTCAGTTTCTGCTCTTGCAGCAGAACGCCACAGAGGGCGATTTGCAAAGAATAGCAGCCTGTCTGGCCCACGGTCCTGGAGGCAGGGAAGTCCGAGGGACTTGGGCCACGTCATTGCAGGACAGAGGGTGTCACAGGGCAAGACCTCGCAGGAGAGACGGAGAGGAGGAGAGGGGGAGAGAAAGATGGAGAAGAGAAGGGGCTGGACTCGTCCTCCCCTCCCTCACCAACGCCTCTAACCCACGGGCCGGGCAGAGCCGCCAGGCGCCACCCCCCAACACTGCTGCCTTGGGATTAAGTTTCCAGCTCGTGGACTTCTGGGGACACGTTCAGACCATGGCGTGGGGTTTTGGAGTCATGGGACGTGGGCAGTGCAGAAGCCTCCCAGGGGGGCAGTGGAGGGTCCTGCAAGCTGAGCTCCAGGTGCGGCCCCCCACACACCCATAGCTACAGCCACATCTGCTTCATGTACTGGGTCTTCATGCTTTCACTGGGGGAAAAAATGTTTTGATGCTAAAAAATTTGAAAGGTGTGGGTCTAGCTCAGTCCTTAGCCTGTGGTGCCCGGCAGCCCAGGCGGAGCTGGGGCACGTGGGGAGGTCAAGGCACCAGGCCACCCTGCCAGAGAGAGGCCTCTGGGTGTCCCAGTGAACTCTCCCCTCCCCCATTCCTCCTTGAACCCAGCCGCCTTCCCCAGGGCACCTGTGCCAGGAAGGCAGATTTTAACCCGCTCAGCGGCCAAGCCCTGGTTTTCCGATAAGAAAGCTGGTTGCCAGTAGGACAGATGGCCTCTGCCTCCCAGTGGCTGCTGTCATATTTTGACCTACCTCGGGGCCCAATCCTGGTCCACATGAACCGCCCTCATCTCTGGCAGCACTCCTGGCACCCAGATCCCAGCCAGCAATTGTCCCCCGGCACCAGGGCGGCCCTGGCCTGGCCCGGGACTCTCTGACCATGCCTTGGGTGCGGAGTCTCAGAGCCTGGGCCAGATCGCTCTGACCTGGTGAAACCTCAGAGGAGAAAACCCTTTCGCTGATGCGCCTGCTCTATGCCACGCGGGCTCCAGGGTCGGAAGGCCTCGCGCTGGCCCCTGGCCGGCCCGGCCGGCACTGGCGAGAGGAATGATGGCAGCAACATGCCCTCCACCACCGCGCCCCAGGCTGTGTTAGAGGCTCCACACGCACTGGTTAGCTCACTGTGTCCTGTGACAGCCCTGTTACAGGTGGGTAGGCCAAGGCTCCCAGAGCTGGGGGAACTCGTTCTTAATTAGCAAGGTCGACCCCGAAAGCCAGAAGCACCAGCACCCTCCGCACAGCCCAGCCAACGAGACTCGAGCCCTCGTGACTCCAGAGGTTTCTCATATCACCCCTCCCCAGGTGGAGAGAGCCTGTCTCTCTCGCAGGTGAGAGAGGCCTCCCTGTCTGGAGGGACAGCCGGCCCCTCTTGGCCTGGCCTCTTCAGCTGCTCCACGGGGCTGAGGAGTCCCACGGCAGTGCAGCCACCTCCCTCCGGCTCCCCTGCCCTGGAGAGCTGGCAGTCCCCTCTCCCTCTGCCCTGCTGGAATTGTGACCTCCTGCAGAATCCAGGTGGCTCCAAGCCTGGGCATGGTCAGCAGCGCACAGGCTGGTGGCCACATACCTCCCGGCCACCTCCTGGGAGGACTCAGCTCCAGGGAACAAATTGCCATGGCACTGGCCGGCAAGCGTAGAACAAAGTCCCCTGCATCCCTGTCTCCTCCCCGCCGGGCAGCTTCTCTGAGCACCTGCTTCCTGGGTCGGCTCAGCCAGTGCCAGGCGAGCCCGGGAGAGATCGGGCTCAGACCCGAAACCGAGAAGCCAGGCTGCGGGCAGCAAACTGCGACGGGCAGGGAAGGGAGAGGCCGAGAAGTTCTGAGCCAATGGCCGGGAAGGGCCTGGAGGGGTGTGTGGCTGGGGGCAGGTGGCCGTGCGGACACCAGGACCCCTCAGCCTAGGGAGCAGCTGAGGAGGTGTCTTTTGGGGCAGAGCCATGGCCCGGCAGGTTAGGCCACAGCGCCTCAGACTCCAGGGCGTGGGAGGCAGGGCTGTGGCGTGGCGAGACTTTCAAAAGCAACATGCAATGCATGTTTCAGCTTTTCTAAGTCTCCACTCTAGAGGGATAGGAGGTTCTGGAACAGTGGCTACCTCCGAGTGGCAGGATTACAGGGGATTTAAACTCTAACTCCTGTTTTCTGCTTTGTAAACTTTTTACAGTGAGCATCATCTATCGTGTGTTTGTTTTATAGTTATTTTGGTTTTTTTTTTCCCATTTCAGAGAAAGAGCAGTTGCTGAGAGAGAGGCAAGCATTCTGATAAAGCGGCAAAGTTGTCTAGGAAAGCCCCCAGCGCCAGGCTGCACTTCAGTGACGCCTAGTAGTGGTCCCCCGCCTTACCCGGCACTTCCCGTGTGCCAGGCATTTGTTGTGGGGACAGGCCCCACTGGTTTGCTGGGACCTCCCTGCTGTAGCGCTGAATGTCTTGTGTCCTGGGAAGCCCGGAACAGTTGGTCACCCGCAGGCTCTGAGCTGGGCCCCAGCTGGGAGGTGAGGGAAGCTCGGTGACTTGTCCGCAGTCACACAGCTGGGAGGCTCCAGCCTGGGACTCAAACCTGGGTCCCTGGCTGTGACACTTGTGAGCTTTGCCACCACCCCACACTGCTGTCACTGTCACTGAAGACGGGCTTACAGGTGCTGTGACCTCACGGGGTCACTGAGGTCACCTGAGGCCAGGGAAGCAGGGCCAGGAGTACAGGTTCCCTGAGGATTCTGCACCTGCCCCAGGGTGCTACTTGGCCTGCTGCTGCCACGCCACCCCCAGGTCAGAGGGCATGACCTCCACGGGCCTTCCAAAGGATGGGGAGGATTTACCCGGAGCCCCCGAATTGGTTGTCTCAGTGCTGCTGATCAGCTGGATGAAAGTAGGGCCTTGGCATGGTGCCTTCATTTAACAGCACAGAGAGGCAGAGCAGCTCCCCTGAGGCTGCACAGCGGGTGGTGGCAGAGACATGGAGACCCAGGGAAAGAGCCCAGCCCTGGCTGTGAGCCTCAGGCCAGTAATATGACTAACACGGGGAGACTTGCTCTGTGTCTGGCCCAGGGATAGACCTACAGACAAGGAGGCGTGGCCCTGCCCCCACATAGAGATGGCGGAGGAGGGGAGGGGAGCTGATGCTGACCCTCCCACACCCGATGGCTTCCTCAGGGGCCCGGTGCCATGAAGGAGGGACTCGGGCATGGAGAAGGCAGGGTCCCAGGCCTGGCCTCTCTGGGACCAGGGCAGGTCTCCCAGAGGTGGTGGGTGGGGGAAGGGTAGAACCTTCTGGAAAGAGGGAGCACCGGGTGCAAATGCTGCGGGCCCCACAGCTGCGTCTTGTCCTCTGTGCAGTGAGGGTGAAATGGTGCAGCTGCTGTGAAAACAGTGTGGGCTTCCCCAGAAGTCACAGCTAGGGCCACCATGCAAACCAGCCGTCCCGCTCCGGCCGTGTGCCCAAGGGAGCCCGGGACAGGTACGTAGCAAACACTCGCCTCGCAGCAGTGGGATCCACGGGAGCCCAAAGGTGCAAACAGCCCAGTGTCCCCAGGCAGCTGAGGGGGTGAGCGAGCGTGTCCATCCACACAGGGGACTGCTGCCGGCCACGGGAGGAGGGAAGCACTGGCACACGTCGTCTGTGCCATGTGCGCGGTGTCTAGAGCAGGTAAACCACGGCGCACGCAGCAGACTGGTGGTTTGCCGGAGCCGGGGCAGGGCGGGGGAGTGGCTGGTAACGGTACAGGGTTTTCTCTTGGGTGACAAAATGTCTTGGAACTAGATGGAGGTGGTGGCCGCACAGCATTTCGAACGCACCAAACGCCCCTGAACCGTGCACTCTGAAGCGGGAATCGCACGTGATGTGAATTGCACTTCAGCTCTTAAGAAAAGAGGACGGCGGTGTGAGGCGCTCAGGGCGGGGCGAGGGGAGGGCGGTGAGGTCCTTTGAGAAACAGCGCCCAGCCCCGGCCCCACGCCAGGACTGAGACCTTCCAGGCGCCTGTAGCTGCCGGAGACACCTCGCTCCCGACTGGCTCTGGGCCCCTTTGTGGAGCACGCCCTGGCCGTGGGCGGGCGGGTGCACACGTGTTGTGAGGGGTGAGGGCTCAGGGAGCAATCAGGAGGAGAATGCACCGTGGGGTGTGTGCAGGGGGTGAGAAGCGAGGGAGCCGGTGGGGATGGGGAGTGCGGGGGCCTCAGGAGCTGGAGGTCAGGGACGCTTGTCTGCCAAGGCGAGAGGCGAGGGTCGAGGGGCGAGGAGGGAGGGCACAGGTGGGCTGAGCTGAGCTGGTGGGGCAGGGGAGGTCTTGGGAGTCGGGGCAGCAGCTGGCCTGGCGAGGCCCTGACGCCCCGGCCTGTGTGTCCCGCCCGCAGCCCTGCTCCTGGACATCATGACGGTGGCCGGCGTGCAGAAGCTGATCAAGCGGCGCGGCCCGTACGAGACGAGCCCCGGCCTGCTGGACTACCTCACCATGGACATCTACGCCTTCCCCGCCGGGCACGCCAGCCGCGCCGCCATGGTGTCCAAGTTCTTCCTCAGCCACCTGGTGCTGGCGGTGCCCCTGCGCGTGCTGCTGGTGCTCTGGGCCTTCTGCGTGGGCCTGTCACGTGTCATGATTGGCCGCCACCACGTCACGGACGTCATCTCGGGCTTCGTCATCGGCTACTTCCAGTTCCGCCTGGTGGAGCTGGTCTGGATGTCCTCGAACACCTGCCAGATGCTCATCTCCGCCTGGTGAACCGCCTGCCTGCCGCAGCGCGGGGACGGGGACGGAGGGACGGGGCGGCCCGAGGAGGCAGGGTTGGCGGTGGGTGGGCGGGGCCGACCCGGGCGGCCCAGAGGTGGAGCCAGCCACCCCACCCTGTCTCCCCGTTTTGGCTGGAGGCTGGTGACCCAAGGCCGGCCCGCCCCGTGACTGTGACCGGCCCACCCCGTGGCTGTGACCGGCCCACCCCATGGCTGTGACCAGGCCTCCTGCTCCGAGTCTCCTCTCTTTGCGGGCCGGGACCCACCCGTGGGGACAGCCTGATTTAGCTTCTGCTCTGGAGATAACCGGCCACAACCCAGATGCTGGGAGGGGCCGAGCCGTGTCTTGTCCTTCCATCGTCATGACTGTTGGGTTTTAGGCTGTGCCCACCCCGCCACAGCACGACACCTGCCAACCAACCCCACCTACCGCCTGGCGCAGGTGCCGTGGCCGTTAGCTTAGGGCAGCGCTTTGCAAAGGGCGCCCTGCAGGACACCGCCTGCAAGATGCTTCGGGGGGGAAAGGGCTTTGTGGTCCAATATGTTTGGGAAGTGCTGCACACTCTGCCCCCATTTTGGACATTCGCAAGGGCCGTTGTTGTCATAAAGGCTCTGATAAGTCCCGTAGGAAAGCTTCTTGCCGAGACTTGTTTAACCCATGTTTCCTAAACTTATTTGACCACAGAACCCTTTTCTTAAG